GGAGAAAAGATATTCAATGTTCAAATGCACATTTTTCTTTTTTCATGTCAAACGGTCGCTTATTTATTCTCTCTACTTCCATCCAGCACTTACGCTTTACAATAATCTTCACTTTTGAGACTATCTTGGAAGTTGGCACATAGGAAAGCACAAATCAAGCAACGTTCATATTGCTTCGGGTTATACCACCGGGATAGGTGGCTCAGAGCTTCAACTGTTGTCATGACAGTGCCTCTGATCGGGAGGGCAGAGGTTCGAGTCCAGACGGTAGCAGGATTTTCGACACTAACTTGTCAGTGAGGTCAAATTGAGTCAGGCGGAGAATCCTAGCGGCCGGATCCTCTGATCGGTAGTTTTCCGTGATTTAACCTGTCAATACGAAACGGGTAATCCTCCTTATCCTATCCTCACCCCTTATTTACAAACACACCCACATGCCGGGAGACTGACCACCACACATACCGGGAGACTGGTCGAGAGCTTAGAGCTGGTCCTGACTGGGGCTGTGCTTCGCTGATGGGGAGACACCTTGTTAAGGGAAATCCTGATGGGTCGGCGCTGAATCTCACCATCCAGCGGGGGAGGATCACCGCCACCTCCCGAGGGGAAACATTACTACACTTACGGGACTAAAGTCCTTAGCAGTTGACGCGCCCCGAATCACGAACAAACAATCAAACGAGTGGGCCAGTGCAGCAGTAGAGTTGCGTAATAATCTGGGGCCGGCGCGCTGCCCTTGAAGCAGCCCTTGCGCCCGCGTCGTGTGCACCTCTGCGTGGGGGCGCGGGCGTTGCCTCTCAGTGGGGGGGGGGGGTAGGGGCGCGTCGCTGACCGTGGAAAATGGCAGCTATGGGCGGCGCGCACGGGCGACGGAGGGCGGCGAACAGAGGGGAGCGCGCGCGGCTCACTGACATTTGTGTGGCCTCGCCCCAGCGGCCCGCTGACATTCGAGCCCTCGCGCCCTCCCCCGTTCCCCCCTCCCTCTGTCTCCCCTCCCCTCATTAAGTGGAGGGTCCTGCCCGGCTGGTGGCTAACGATGGCCACACCCCATCCCACTACCATCCCCCCGCCACTCTCCGTCCCTACTTATCCTTCCATGTCTCCTTCCGTTCCTCTGTCGTTTTCCTCTTCTCCTTTCTATCGGTTTCTAGCCCGTTTCTGACAAATTATCCCCTACCGGCATCATATTCTTTCATGAGTCCACTTTTATTCTTAGCCCGTTTCTGCCGTCTCGCCATCTCTCATATTATTGCTTCCATAACTTCACTTTTCACAATTCATTCGTTCTCCTCTTCCACTCAACACCGTCTTTCCCTCTCCACTTCGTTCCGGCTCTTCTCTGCGCCCATTTCACTCTCTTCTTGTTACTAACCCCTCTCTTCTCTTTGTCCTCCCATTGTGCACACAACTCGAGTTCTTATTTCTCGCAACTCGTCCACGTGCCTTTCACCTCCAACTCCTTCCTCGATTCACTTAAAGCACTTGTAGCTTCAGAGCGCTGAGCGGACCAAAATATATCCATGTGTCTCAGGACTCTATTCAGCTGGTATAGCGCTCCAGGAAAGGCTCTCCGCGGTGGCACCTTGCTGGAGAGAGTGTTTGCAACAGTTGTTGGAAGTACGAGTTGCGGCTTCAAAACGTAAATTGTTTCTCGCGGTACGCAAGTGTTCGTTCATTCTTACCCTACCGCAACCGTGGTATTCTTGAATTCAATGTCCGGTTACGCCCATAATCGCTTACGTCGTGGACGTCACCGGCTGGGTTAGATCAGAACCAGCATTGCCGCTCTCGCTGCTGCGACTGGCCGGGAGACTTAGGGTTTGAGTTGCGACGGGACGGATCCCGACGCTAGTTGGAAAATTCTAGCTGCCGGCTCCTCGGATCGTTTTCTTTCTCGTAGTATTTCGTATCAACGCCAGGCGAATGCCCTACCATACGTGATCTTTCTTTTTTCTTTATTGAATTACCCTCTTTCTTTACACCTACGCGAACCATAATTTTACGTAGTATGTCGAAAGACCATTCAGGGGTTTAGAACTTGTCTCGGCTTGGGCGTTGGCCAGATGGGAGAGATACCTGTAAGGGGAATCCACCGCAAGCCGACGTGTAGGTCGGCGCTGGAACTCACCACCCAGAGGCGGAAGAACGACGCCTCTTCCCGGGATAAAAACCACTAATCTAACAGAACTGACGACCATAGCAGCTGACGTGCTCAAAACATCAACCAATCGTTGACTTAACCGCGTACGTCGCAGTGCAAGTCCCAAACGGGCGCCGGGGTACCCCTCGTTGGAGCCCTTAAGCGCAAGCGCCGGGAGAGCATATCGCGCGGTCCGAGAAGGGCGGCACCTCCCTGGGCGAGCCCGTCCTCCTCTCGCGAGAGACAGGCAGGCAGGTGTCCTCGCGAGGATGCCGTCCGCTCGTTAGGCGCCGCGCGCCCTCGCGTCCTCGCGCCCTCGTTAGAGTCGACCACGCGGAA